CTTGTAACGGTTCGTCACAGGGATGCAACTTGATGGAATTACAGTAAAGGGGGACGGTTTCCTTATGTTTTCCTATACCATTATAAGCGTTGGACCTGCTATTTACATCGCTCATGTGCAAAGTGATACCTCTGTGCTTCATTTTCACATAGCCGGAGCCTGCTATAGGCGGAGTGGATGCCTTTCTGTGGGACCAGACGGCAACTTGTAGGACGGGGTGCTGAACAAAGTGCGACGCAAACACCCCTAAATGAGGAACTGCTACGTGAAAGTGACCATGCACAACGGGATACAAAGAGGAGACATGTGAAAGGTCTCTCTATATCTCCGAGAGAATGGCTGTGTACCGGTACTAGCATAGACGGCTCAGTGTCACTGAAGTGGACCAAAACACGCTGGAGACACATCCAGTTTTTTGGCAGGACTACCAGCACGAAGAACACTTTGAGATGACCGCTTGGCTGACCAAACCCTAAGCTGTCTTTGTTCCTCAGCTTCATACCTACATTGCATGCCCGTCCTTTATGACTTGGGACTCAAGATATAAATCTCTCCCTCGGCACTATTATCGCTCCCCACAAAAAGTCCCCTGCCCGCGGGATCCCAACTAGCAGCCGTCAGCCTAAAGCAGCTACTCTGCGTGAGTCCATTCGCGGTACAACTCCCCGGATTCGTCGCGCTGAAGATATCCGTATACCCCGTTCTCGAGTCGGCTGGAGCAACAGGATCATAACTCCCATCCGCCAACCTGGTAAACGGCACCTGCACGACTTTGAAGCCCGTAGGCGGCTGCCGGTTCCACGAGCCGTGGAAGGTGATGTACATGTTCTTGGCGTCTGTGTCGAAGGTGTTCCAGATGGGCGCGGAGTGGGCTTGGAAGGTGAGCCGCGGCGCGATGGCTTTGCCGTTGCAGGTGGCGTCGTTGTAGGAAGAGTTGGGGGCCGTGACAAAGTGTTGGCCGGTTTTGAGACCGTTGGTAAAGGAGGAGGGGTCCCAGACTGAGAAACAGGTTGGGTAGCCGTACCAGGCGTTGCGGACGGTGCGGGGGTCGCCGACTGGTGGGGGAAGGGGGTTAGTGGTGGTTGAAGGAATGGAGGGAAGGAAAGGGCTTACGGTTGTTGAGCTTCTCGGCTGGGTTATTGGTGTGGATGTCCTTGCGTTGACCGTTTTCGGTGCGAGTAAAGTCCTGTTGTACAAGGTTAGCAGAGGCTAAAAGGAGGGGATTAGAGGGCTGCTCGCATCGCCGCTGTTCTCGACACCCCAGAAGACACCATTCGGATCAGGGACAAAGCCGATCTCGTTCCTCAGACCATACCCAAACATCTCTCCTTGTGTGTTATAGTTGTAGCCACCCGAGGGAACGTTGTTGGTGTCAAAGACCTTGATGCAAGCACGACCAGTCGACGGCTGCTGCGAAGCCATGTCGAAGTTGGAGTTGCTGCCCACTTGCAGCAGGACCAGGTTCGGCTGACCTGGGACAACCTTAACGGCACGAGACGAGTGGACACCCGTCGACATGCCCTTGACAATGGTCTTTTGGTTGCTGACCTTGCGAGTGAGAGCATCATACGCCCAGCTGTAGAGAGTCGTCTCGGAGGAAGCGTAGAGGGTCTTGCCATCGGGTGTCAGGTCCAAGCCATGGTTGAGACCACCTCCAGATATAAGCATGTTGGTGCTGTTGACGCAGCCATCGGCACCAAAAGTGTGGACGGAGACGCCCCTGGTGTTTTGCTGGACAAGCATGTTGCCTTCGGTGTCCCAGATGACGGTTCGTACTTGTTTCAAGCTGCCGGCGATCTTCATGACGGTCCAGCCGGAGTTGACTGTGTATTGGTAGCGCATGTTGGGGACGCCGCTGCAGCTTTTGGGAAGAGGGAGCTTTACGACTTCGGCATGGACATCTGTGACTAGTGTTAGCTACATTACTTGTCATGGCGGAAACACGAAGGGGAATTAACCTACCGGCACCCAAAAGGGCCGCTGCCATGGCGAAGAGACTGAAGAGACGCATTTTGTTGGAGTCCACGTGGTGTTACAATCGACGATATGGAGAGACCTTGCAACCAGAGGAGAGGATGCTGAAGAATGCGGAATACGCGGTGGGCATGCAAGCTCCTTCTATATAATCACCTTCGGCAACAAAACAAGATCCAGGGCCGCCAAGACGGGATCAGTCCAGTTGCTTCATCTAAACGACCGTCCAATTCCAACGATCATGCTGTGGTGTCGATATCAAGATGGCGATATAACGTGATTGTGAAGGGATGTTCTGAGTTTCGGTGGCCAACCATTGTACCGGGATGAAGGCGACCCAATATCGGGTATGATAGCCTGTTCGGCAGTATTGCTCCGAGCTCACGGCAGTCGCCATTCTGTGCCGTGCGTCGTCACATTTCTCCACGATCTATCTTCCGGACTCGCGTGGGAAAATTGCGGGCAAGTTCGCCGATTGGCTGGTGATGAGCCGCATATTAATGAAGGGCGAAAGTCCGGTTTGCTGTTGTTCCAAGAAATATTACGACGTTTAAATGGAGCACTTGATCGCCAGGTGATTAGCAGCATCATGACACTGAGAAAAATATAGTCGAAAAAAGAGAAAAATGGAGAAGATGACCTGCTCAGACTACGCGTTGTAGTACTTCTTTGGCGGCGTGAGATTTGTGGTATGCTTTACAGTACTTAATTCATGGTTGACGACGTGCTGGACCTAATCTAGTGACATCGACGACGCTTGCCGAAGCTCACTTCCAGCAACTTGTTCAGAAGGTCGGCGTGCTGGTGAGTTATGAGATAGGTTGCTCACATCTCTATCTCTCCAGTCAATATTCTTAAGATCCGAATAGCTTCATCGTTGACGCGGCGCCAGTCGATCCTCATGATCAGGGCAGCAACAAGGAGAAACATCTTGATCGAAGGATGAGGTGTTTGGCTCGTCGACGATGAAATTCTGTAGATGCTCTGGTGATGCTTTTGTAAGTAAGTTTGTGTATTGTTTTGAGAAGCTTGATGGCGCGACAACGGAGTGGGAGAGAAATTGTAGAAAGATCACTGTTGAAGAACGAGATGTGAGTGTTGAATGAAGTCGCAATAAACTTTCAAGTGGCTTGTCGTCATGTAGATGCACCGCTTACCTTGCATAGTAACAATAGCGAACGGACGCGAACCGACAATAAGGCAGAGGCAGGGGCATGCACGCACTGTACCAGAAACCAACTTGAAAAGTGGCGGCGCTCGGATCATTGCCGAATTTCCATTGGTCCCTTCTTCAAGGGACCCACGTTAAAAAGAAAAAAAAAGACCAACGTCCAGGAACAAGCATCAGTCAACAACCACAAAAGACAGAGTGCCAAATTCAATGCTGGAAGGAAAGCTGTATCTGTATCTTGAATGGCCGGAGAAGAAAAGTCGTACCGAGCCGAGCTCAATACTCTGCTCATGAAGCTCAACGTGGGATGCACCTTCCAAACGCGATGCACCCGCACATAAAAGACTTGAGGACGATTGCGTGCAGTTCTGCATCCACGCAACAGCTCCATATTTTTGAGTAAGAATGAAAGCAGTACGCAGGAACATTGCCCTCTGACTGGATTTGCGTGGAATTGGATCGGAAGGAGCGAGTGAAGGTCGTGAGCGAGTGTTTTAACTCAGCACTGCGTGGCCGCTTGATGCGGGTCCGATGGCAAGTATGCCGTGCTAGCATAAGCCTCTCGTCACGGAGGAAGGAAAGTACAGGCAGGAATTACGACAGAAAGGAAGGAGGGAAGGAACGCTAGCTTGGTCGCTATGAGAAGCTCATTCTAGGTCCAAAGTGCAAAATTTGAAATCCGACTAGTAGTGAGGTGAGCTTGCGGTCTTCTGTTCCTCATGAGCCATAAGGTCTGTGTGATGTGGCATGGCTTCAGGCACGTTCAGTTGAGGAAGGTGCGCTTGTTGGTACTACGGCTTTTCATTGGCTTGATTCCTCTAAGAGGTATGACGTTGCCCCTGGGTGACTACCAGGGGTATGTGACCCGAGGTATACGTATTAGGTCCGCAGACCTCCTTCCAACAAACAAAGCAAAGCGCGGTTGGCGTAGTAGTCAACGCGTTCGCTCAGTAAATGGCACTTCGAACGCCCACAGTGTCCGCTGTCAGTCCCCTTCGGGGGGTGTGCCACTGATTGTGGAAGTTCCCGGGTTCGAATCCCGAACCGCGCATCTTTTTTTCTTCCTTCTCTTTCTGATAATCCTTTTTTCCCTATTTTTGTTTTACCCGCAACACTCGCTAGTTTGAAGCTGTATATCTCATCCCATTCATGCCCGACCTAGCCATCTGTTCACCGCAGTTTCTGCACCGCAGGCGCAGTTTGCTGCTTTCCTCCAGCTGTGTTAGCGACGGCGGGCGCATAGCCGTCTGGAAATAGCTTGCTGGGCAGGGGCGTCATTCCATGTTTCTCGCTCATGTGCCGGAGGAGGTCAGATTGACAAAGGAACGCGACGTTCTCGTCACACGTCAAGTCCTTGTCGTTCATGAATGGCCTTCCCTCGCTGCCGTAAAGCTTGGTGTAGGGGCATATGTGAAGTTCATCCTGGCCTGGTTTGGCCACGTCGGGAACTCGGGACATGCTTTGGGGTTCGTGCCAGGGTGCGCCGCTTGCAGTCGAGTGGAAAGTTTCACCGGCAGCAGGTGAGTTGCTCCTCTCAGGTGTGTGATAGGGACTGACTGTTGGTGTATGATAGGGGCTCACTTCTTCCGGAAATGCGGGACGGGCCTCTCCAAACTTGACAGAGAAATCAGGAAGCTGTGTAGTACTGGTAACGCCCGATGCTATTGAGGCTTGCGCGAAGCGCCTGGAAGGTTCAAGTTAGTGTTAGAAATGCTCGAGTAGCCCTGATGCTCATTAAGAGAGGACATACTGTGTGTCTCCCGGTATCCTTTTCAAGCCAGAGAAGTGTGAAGCGCTATCTCTGCCGTTGATGGAACGTTGTGCGAGACCCCCGGGACCATAAGCTGAAGTGTGATTATTGTTGTAATTAGTGAGGTTTGACAGCCTAGAAGATGTAAGCTTGGATGATTCCAGTACATAGGGTCTTAGTCCGAAGATGACTCACTGATGGCTAGCTGTGAGATAGGTCGAGGGAAGATCCAAGTCAGTCTTAAACCACTCATGCTTCATCGCATCGACAGCACTGGGCCGCTTGTCAAATTCCGTCCAAAACCCGGACAAGAATTTCTGTGCGGTCGTTGAAACCTGCCAAACGACGAACCATGGAAGATGATCGTTCCGCACCTTCTTCCACTTCCTCTTCGGCATTGGGTCTATCCAACAATGTTCATCCTCGTCCCACATCCTAACAAAGTCTCTGCTGTCGGCTCCGTTATCGCCAAATGGTAACTTGTTAGTGAGAAGCTCAAACATCGTGACCCCTAGAGACCACATATCGATAGTCAGAAAGTTCTTAGCATCCTGCAGCTGCGGCGGCCAGAAGTATTCGGATCCTTGGATCTCAGGTGCCCCGTATGCCCAAGTGGTTCGTACCCCGCTCGCTACGTCCTGCTTGGCGCTGACTGACTTTGCAAACCCAAAATCGGCAAGTACGACCGTCCATTTATCATCGGGCTTGCTTGGTTGGGGACAACTCCGTATGAAGATATTCTTGAGGTGCACAAGAGGTTAGCAAAGAGATAACACGGTGATTGAGCATGCGTATTGGTATAGGGTAACCCATAGTAGGTAAAAATCACAAAGCTTCGTGAACGGGGATATATAAGAGAGGTGTACCTTTGGGGCAATGTCGCGATGGGTATATTCCTGTCCATGCATGAATCCAAGCGCTAGCAAGACTTGGAAGATGACGGACTTGCAATCATTTTCCTTCAGAGGTCCATTCCTTCTCAGATACTGGCTCAAGTCTCCCAGGGGCAGGTACTCCATAGCGATGTTGAGGCATCGTGGATACTCCGTCCACCAACCCAGACACTCCAGGAAGAAAGGTCGACCCTAGTACGAAAAGTCAGCATGGGAACTCATAAGGGGAGGAAGGGAGAAAACCTGGGAGACTAACACTGTCCGTCCCCCCATTGAACATGACCATTGCGAGAACCTCTCTCCAGTGCAGACTCTCTTTCTTCTCATCATATGTGATAGTTTTGACGACACGTTTGACGCCAAACAGTTTCGGATTCTTTGAGATGCACGACTGCACATAAATCTGAACATCCGCACTGCTTCGCAAAGGAGGATTTTCGATCTCCCAGTCTATCATCTCTGAATCACCGCCAGACAGAGGCCAATATGTGTGGCGGACTAGGGGAAGAGAGCTTGTGCCTTTGGGGTGATTTGGATGCAGTGGTCGTTCAGTCTTCAACCACATCGCCGTCGCAGGATCACCGGACAGACATGATCCTTTGTGATGATCACCCATGATGATGTACAAAAATTCAGGTAGCCGAGCCGGGTGTCCGAATTGTCCAAAATGGCTGTGTTTAGGAAGATTCGAAGTAAAGTAATGAAGATAGAAGGCGTGGTGGATAGGATAATAAGAGAGGTAGTTGGGATGCTGATGATACAACATCGAGTGACTGTGGGAAACACAGAAATATATCAACAGAATTCGCGGTATCCCAAACACCCATACATGGATGCAAGCAAAATGAGCCTACCAATGATCGGTAAAAACTCTTCTTGAGGATGGAGGCCCGAAATTGAGACCTCATAGTGCCGCCGGTCACTTGTAGGCTATGATCCAGGTCAGGGTTCGTTATGCGCAGTCGAGGCCTGAACTCTTTGGCGATGAAACTTTGTAGGCGGCGCTTATTAGCGAATGGAACATCGTGAGCGCCAGCGTGCTTAAGTAGCCAACCAACGTCGGAATGGCAAGGAGCATTAGCGCTATCAATTCAGAACAGTGCCATCTAACAGGTACACTGTGAACATTTGAGGCTCACGAGTGAGAATACATCGCCGGCGACACTGGTACAAATAAATGCAGACTGTGAGTGTGATCGACATGTGTCTTGCCGAAAGGAATGAGGGAATCCAGCGATTCAAGCGATTATACTGTATGTGCTGCAATGATTTAGTGCGCCCGTATAGCTCTGATTTCAATGCGTAGGAAAGGAAAACAGGACCGCGAACATGAAACAACGAAGCGCCGCATATACCCAGGAAGGTCTCCCGCCAAGGTGGAACATAAGATGTCTGGGTTGGTGATATACGGAGTCAGAGCTGGGTCCTTCAAATGGCTGAGGTGAGAGCAACGCGAGGTAGCAATGTTAAATCTTTCTTGACCAAAGCGCCTCCAAGCTCTTAGAGGGTTGGACGTCTGTCCCTCGACTAAAAGGCCATTGTCCTACTTCTGATATTACTTGTACGTGGAGGACATGGACTTGATAACCGGTTCCCCTAAGCGAGCACTCGCTACTTGCAATGGCCGGCTCGTTGGTAATAATCGGTGCAAGCGGTTTGGGGGCCCTCGACGAGTAAGCATTTCCACAGGAACCCCTGAGAAGACGTGATGGGGTCAGAGAGAGAGGAAGTGGGATGGACATTCTCAAAACAAGGTTGTATTCAAGTTCCACGAACTCCGTGAGGACCACAAGCCTGCCGCTTTCCAGGTTCAGAGCCTGAACAATTCGCTCGAAGCACGGTGCGCTCATGTACTCATGAAGCAGGATCAGTTCGACAAGCTCATTGAGCCGTTACTCGCAAGCGGTGGAGTGCCCCAGCACGTCGTTGAGCTAAGAAGCAAAATCATCGAACAGCTAGATGACAAGATCTTGATGGCACGTACGGCCATTACAGAATTTGACAAAGAGAAAAAAACTTGAAGCGCTTGGTCTGATTCCTTGTAATGAATTGACGAAGCACCTCAGGGCTGACACGGATACAGCACGTATGTGTTATGGCAACCTGGGAAGGGGAAACGACCGAAGCAATAGGCATTGCTTTCGAGATAATATACGTATCAGTCCACCTTGGGCTCTGACACCCAAGTCCTCGACTCTTCCATCCTCTGTGAAACACCTCGTCAGGTAGGGACGCTGCTCATGAAGATTGTGCCTAGCCTTCGGTAACATGCTCAAGAACACCCGTTAAGCTTCCTCACATGTGACTTTGAGCACTCGCCCAAACACCTGAACCAGCACTCGCCCTAGGAGTAACCACACCAGAGTTTGTCAGTCAGGAGCATTCCCACCAACACCCCTTCTGCAGAGCCTCGAGAACCCGAGGGCATGGGCATAGCAGCCGTACTCGAACCGGTGATTTGGAGCGAGCGCTGCCAGCCCCAGACCCCAATCGCTCAAAACTCCCTCTCTCTCATTGTTTTCTCCTGTGTTTCCACTTGGTATCCTTACTTTTGACGTCTTGACCGTTGACCAGCTGCTGGCTGTCTTCAGGCTCCGGCAAGACACTCCCGTCTGTGTCGATCGCCTTTCCAGGCTGCGGCTCACGCTTGTCATCATCCACCGGCCACGGAGGATGGGGCTAGGGTTTGAGGACTTTCACGGTTTTGGAACTCGGCGCGGGGACTTCGCAGGCGTGGGATTGATGACTCGGTTCGGGCTCGGGGTTCTTTGGAGCAGGCCGGGACTTCGAGGTCTTCGAGGGCTTTCGATCGACTCGACTCCGGGATGTGGCTTGGGCTTGGTCATTTCGGTGAAAGTGGGAGACTACTAATTCTGACATGTTAGCAGTCGTTTCATTCGGCTGGGGGATCAGGGGATGGCCAAGTTGCTCGCCATGGAGCTTGCTAGACGAAGCAGCTTGGGGGTCAAGTCGGAGGTGGAATTTGAGCAAAACGAAGATTGTATTAACGCGCGCATGTGCCCTCTGCTAATACTTCCGTGTGTTGAACTCTTTCGTACCCGTGGTGCCATTCTTAATCGAGCTCCCACCTCCAATGCTTCTGCTTCTGGCCTTCTTGTCGCTACTGCCCCTGGTGACCTTGATGATTTGCGCTTGCTCGTGCACCTTGATGACCTCCATCTCCAATGCTTCTACACGTGTACGAGAATGGAGGTGCTATCAGCAGCCACGGCACACCAAGAACGTTGAAATTAGCACTTTCGACGACTTGAGTACTTAGGGGAGCAGCAAACGACCGTGACGCCGAAGAGGAAGCAGTGACGTTGGGCGTTGTCAGGGTTAGGGTCAGTATCAGATTGGGATGTCGCCGAAGCCTCGAAGATGGGATTCATTCGGGAGGCAGAACATCCGGATCTTGTGCGATTGGAGGCACAGAAGAAAACTGGATCACCAGAGGGCTTTAGAGGCGGTGATTTGTGAATCCCGTTGACTTCGCATTGCCGGAGTGGTCTCGTGAAGCCCCGGGTGCTGCGCATCTGCAGGATTGCGGAATGCGGGGTCTGGATCACGGCCGTCGCATTGGAGACGGAAGGTGGATGATGGCGCTGTATGACTTGAACAGCGACTTCCCATTTGCATTCTCATCTATCTTGACTGCATTATTCAAATCGGAAGGTTCGTTCGACGGCATCGAAGGAGATATGGATTGGCCAACAATGGTCGTCGTTGAACGTCTTGATCGTTGGGCAAAGCCGTTGTTGTGCGACACAGCATGTCGTCGTCTGTGACTTATCCGCCGCTCGCCGGACGTCGCATCGCACGGTTGCCGCCTGTAGCGACCGTTGCGCACGGTCCACTCCAAACTTTGAGCATCCGATGTTTCGACTTCCGACGACTGATGTTTTCTGCGAACATGAAACGAACACCATCAGTTTTAAGAAAAATCCAAGAGATCAGATGAACCATTTGGTTCCTGCACTCCACCAATATTCCCAGGTTGTGTTCAGTCTTGGGTTCCTTGTCCATCTGTCGCGGGAAATGTGATTGTCAAAATCGCCTTCGGTGTGGTACGATTAAAGATTTCCCGGAGATCCAGATCTCTGACACATTTTCGTTCGGGTCGTCGTTTGCCTGCACTTTCCACTTTGCTTGGCCTTGGCTGGACCGACCCCGCTCGGCCGTCCGATGTTGCCCAAACTCCAAACTCCGTCCAGTCCATTCAACCTGGCAACGACCGACCGACGACCAACGGTCCAACTTTGCATCACCTCAGCTTACCACTTCGGCCCGGAAAGCCATCACATATTCACATATCTTTGATGCGGGCAATTCCCACACGGGCAGCCCGGGATACGGGATACGGGATCGCCACTCTTGGCGTCCCCCGACCACAATGCCACAATCTGTTCGTGACCTCTGCTACGCAGCCATTTCGCCATCTTTTGGCTTTCATGTGCAGCCATCAGTACCCCTCAGTCTCACACTATCCAACGGGATCCATTCATTCTTGCAGCATAGCTCTTGTGTAGCGGAGCTTCTTACGGCGAACGGAGTTACTTTGCTGTCATTAGTCTACCATTGGTGTCCTGCAATCGACTGACGACTTGACTGACGATTTGACTGGTGAGCTT